TGAACCCCTCATTCCTGGCCCCACCCCGCAGCCCTCACCCCCGCACTCCAATCCCCTGCCCCAGCCCTGAGACCCCTCACACATCCTGAACCCCTCATCCACAGCCCCCCCCACATGAGTTTTGGTATGTGCACCAATAGGGAGGTGCTGTGTCACACATCACATAACAAAATTCATTCCACACATCGAAGTAAAACATTAGCGGGAACACTGGTGTGACCCACTCTGGGGTCCCGACCCACAGTTTGAAACCCTGGTCTACACGACAATAGACACGTGGGTCGCTGGCTCTGGCACATGGGGCTCAGGCTATGGGGCTGTTTAACTGCCAGGTGGACATTCTGGCTCGGGCTGGAGCCTGGGCTCTAGGACCTTTCCCCCTCCTTGGGGTCCCAGAGTTCGGGCTCCAGCCGGAGCCCCACTCGCTGCACTGCAGTTAAACAGCCCCTTCATCTGAGGCCACGTCAGCTGGCACGGGCCAGCCGCAGGCGTCTAACTGCAGAGTAGTCACCCTTTGTGCCTCAGTTTCCCCAGCTGAGAAATGGGGATATTGAGACTGACCTTCCTTGGTGAAGGGCTTTGAGATCTACTGCTGGAAAGCTCTAGATCAGAGTGAGGGATTATCACTATCACACGGACAGTAAAGATTTCTGTTGAACTGTGCAAAAGCTCAGTGTGTTTATTGTTGATGGGCCACACAGCGGATAGAACCCTGGTTTGGGATTCAGGGCACCTGGGTTTATTCCTGTCTCTGGCCTGTTCTGTGACTTTCCACAAGTCACTTACACTCTCTGTGCTTGTTTCCTCTCCCAGCCTTTGTCTGTGAACTGCTTGGGGCAAGGACCATCTCTCCGTGTGTGTCTGTGCAGCGCCCGGCACAACGGGGCCCTGATTTCAGCTGGGGCAGGGACTGTCTCTCGCTGTGTGTCTGTGCAGCGCCCGGCACAACGGGGCCCTGATCTCAGTTGGAGCCTCTAACTGCTGATGTGATACAAATAGTTTTTTTATCTTCCTGACGCTTAGCACAGGGGTTAGGGTGCGTGGGTGTCACTGTTCGCAGTTTGTCCGTCAGGAATTGTTCCTGGGGATTGCGCCTGGCCAGAGAGAGAACAGCCCGGCTCTGTGATCTCTCACCCACACTCCAGTGGGCTCGTGACAGACTCGTTCTTCCCCAGGGCAGAGACACCAGTGTGGAGCCTGGCCCTTTACAGGCAGAGCTCAGAGAAAAGCCCAGTGAGGGCAGCACCCCGCGGTGGGCAGAGTTTTCCTTCATTCTGGGGGAGCCCTTCCCCGGCAGGCAGAGGGGTAGACAGGGAGGATGACAGAAAAAGAGACACACATACATTGTTCTCAGCACATTAGTCCTTGTGGGGAGGGGCGCTCAAAGCCCTGGTGGGAGGATGCAGCTGCTGCCTCAGTTTCCCTGCTCGGTTGGGAGGAGCCAGTCACATGAGGACTTAAGTTTACAAAATAAAAGTTTCTGTTCTGGGAGCTGGTGTATTATCAGACAAATAATTCCACACACACACGTCTGTCCTAGCACGTCCCAGTAATCCCCTCCTGTCTGTGGCATCTCTTCACGCTCCCCCAGCGCTCAGCAGGGCCTGCACAACAGCCCGTCTCGCTGTACAGCAGAGTTCATGCGTCCTTCCCCCAAGCTGCAGGGTTCACACCAGCCCCTTAGCCCCATGGCTGCAGGGTTCACAGCACCTCCCCCTGGCCCCAGCCGGTACATTGTCCTCTAGCCACAGCCCGGGCCAGGCTCCTGCCCTGGGCCTCTGACAAAGGGACACAGCAGGCTTGGCTGCTCCCCTTCTGATTTCCAAGTCAAAAGATCCCTTCTCTGTGCCACAGAGTGAGCTGGGGGCTGCTGGCTAATCCGCACCCTCACCCCAGTCCCCAGATGGGCCAATGGGTGCCAGAGGCTCCAAGGGGAGGAGCTATCAGATGTCCTTCAGCAAGCGTGTCTCTTCCTTGCTGCTGGGGCTGTCCCCCTTCGTCAGCCCCACCCAGTTCCCCACGTGCTGAGGCAGCTTGGGACAGCCCCATGGAAAGGAGAAGGCCCGACTCATCCAGGTTACAGTCACTTTGCTCGGCCTTCTGGTTTCTCCACTGGTTTGCTGCAGATCCAGCGTGCGTTCCTCCAGCAGCCTGAACTGGCAATATTGGCATTGTTCGCAAAAGCACACAGGCCTCCTCCCACTATTGGAAACCTGCAACAGCAACAAATAAATAATAAAAACCCGACACAACTGTTAGAGCAGCTTCACCGAGCAGTGAAAATCCAGCCTCGAGCGATTCACCCCAGGTCACATGGCAAATCTATGGCAGAGCCAGGCACTGAACCCTGATTTCCCAAGTCAGCCCCGGCCCTTAACCACAAGGCCAGTGTCCTGTTTTAAATGTGAGCTGCAACATTTCCTGAGTTAACAGAACTAAACGGGACCCACCACTTGTTGAATTCAGTGCCATTGGTCCACATCCAGGGTTGGTCCTGTTCCCTCTGGAGGCCGATCCAGTGGTCAAGGCGTCCTTTATGGCGCAGCAGGAAATCCTTTGTTAAAAAAGTAACAGCAAATACACGTTACACATCTCTGTCTCTGGGATTTCTACAACCTACACTGGGTTCTCTGGGCTACTACACAGGGGGAGCTGGGCAGGTGGTCCAGGCTGGGAATTCTACACCAGGAAATGACATCCCAACCTCAGAGGCAGCACCCGTCCGCTCCATGAACTATGGGTTGGTCAGCCCATGCAGGGACATGGTGCTAAGACTAGTCTAGTGTATTTCGTAGAGCTGGCTGAAGATTTTTCATCAAAATATTTCTGTGACAGAAAATGTGTTTCCTACGAAGATGAAGTTTTCCTAGGTTTAATTTTGATTTCACTGAAAAGTTTCTATTTTCCATTGGGCAATGATTTTGTTTCGGGTCAGTTCGACATTAATCTGTAGCCAGCTGAGTTACCAAGGTGCCTCATGGGAGTTATAATTTGGGCCTCATACCTCCATTCTCCACTCTGGGTTGGGGTCCCCCCAGACTACATCTCCTATAATGCACCATGATTTCCCTTTTGGCTGAGCCACTGCTGGGCATCATGGGAGATGTAGTCCAACCCGGTTCTCAGCACACAGAAGGGGGCAGAAGGCACCCAAACTACAACTCCCATGAGGAGCCAAAGGTGCTGTTCAACGTTGAACCATGCTGAAACAAAATGTTCTGCTTTGGTTTGACAAATCAAACTGCTTTGATCTGTGAATGATGAAAGAAATTGGTTTGATCAAATGTGGAAACCAGATATTTTCATACATTTCTGGAGCAGAATGCAAAGTAAAATGTTTGTGAATTTCAGCTTCTTGTCCTGTATCATGATAGACACAAATGTGAAAATATCAGAATTTCCCATCTCAATTCTGATTTAGCAGGTACCTGGCTCAGCTTCTCAGCTGCACTCCAGACCTTTACCACTCCTGCATTCTTACCAAATCCCACAATTTTACTGAGAGTCTCATGCTGCTTGGTGCTTTTCTTAACACCCCAGCTCCTGGAGTCAGGTGATTACAAGATACTCTCGTCTTTCAGAAGTTTCTAGCCCTCATGGTTGCAGAGAAAAACTTGCAGTTGTGACCCCTAAAAGCTACGACACCAGAAAACAAATTAAAAGCCTTGAACGCTGTTATTTTAAAGTCAATCTCATGGTTTTGGGGGTCCCAATCCATGATTTTTGAACTCTTGGGTTGGCAATGCTGCTCCTGTCACATTAAAGGGGTGGAAAGTAACTGGATTTCCCTGCTGGGAATTCCCCAGGAACGGAGGGTCGGCGTATTAGCTCCACACTGCTCTGACTCAACCCTCAGTGACTGGGGAGGATGGAGAGTGGGTGGAGCGCTCTGCACTCTGGCTATTCTGGGATGTGAGAAGTTGCCTTAAATTCAAGCAGCGTCTGGGGCCCTGCCAGCCCCAGGGCAAAGCCAGCATAAAGCCGCCTTTGCCACCCCCACCCTGTGCAGCCCAGAATCTGTCTCACCATTTCCTGCTGGGTGTCAATCACGGCCAGGGAGGCGCCGAGGGCAGAGCAGTGGCTCTGGCTGTAGGTCCAGTTCCCTTCGGCCTCTGAGAAATAGTAACACTTCCCCAGGTACCCGACCCAGCCGTCTGGGCAGGTGGCCACTGGGCAGGCGGCCACTGGGCAGGCAGCACCAGCTGGACACGGCTCAGATTTCTTTGCTGGAGATGAGAAAGTAGCAGGGTCAGAGATTTGCCCATCTCCCTCTGTAGCCACGGCAACAAGCCCCAGTGACACACCATTGAACACCGCACATCCTCCACACCATGGGAAGCTGCGCTTGTGCCTAGACACGTTCCCCTTCACAACAGAGAGAGACCAGCGCCCACCCACCAGCTCCCCACAGCGACGCGAGCTGTGAATTCGGGGCCACGTTTCCAGCCCTGGGCTCCTTTGCTGGGGCCCCGGCTTTGCCCCCTGCAGTTACCTGCAGACGCTGCCAGGGAGACACCTGATTGCACCTGCACATCAGGCACTTCGGCATCTGACCGGCAGGGCCAGGCCCTCGGTAATAACTCAGAGACTGCTCAGGCCTTTGAGCAGGGCAGGATGGTTCGGCTCCGGGGTCCTAGGCTGGGGCTGGGCGTATTCGGGCTGCAGCCTCTCTCTAGTGTCAGGTCTCGAGTGGCCGAGGAGAAGCAGTCATGTACCTGCAGCTGGGGGCATCCCTGCCGGTGGGTGTCTAAGTGCAGGGCCAAGAGCGGCTGTAGCTTGTCACAGCTGCGCAGTGTGAGAGGATCCCAGGCTGGTCAGTCCGAGGGCTCAGTGGTACCCCAGTTCCAGGCTGCACCCCGGGGGGGGGCCATCCCACTGCCCACTTACATCAATGGGGAGAATTACTGCGGATGATCAGTATATAGATTATTTCCCAAAGCCCTGTGGCTCTCTGGGGGCAGCTGGGGCTAAGGGTGGGAAGGGTACCTGTGTCCCAGGGGGCCACAGAGGGTGAATGTTGAATTTGTGTTTCTGGTGGGCTGTGGTCCCTGCAGCCACAAATCCTGAGCTCCTTATGCCACCTGACAAGGCAGCAGGGGCGAAGGGCCCTGCTCATATCACAGCCTCTGATGCACCCCTGCCCCCTCCCCTACTTCAGACCTTGCATGTTCTGTACAATCGTACTGTGTCTGGGAGCTCTGGCACTCAGACAATCGGATCTGACGGCGCAATTCACAGACTGGATGATTTCACATTCAAATAACCCCCATTTATGCAGATTTGCAAGTTTTCAGGCTGCTCCACTCTCCCCCTTTCTCCATCCAGGATGTCTCCCTCCCCACTGCAGAACCGTCTAGGAATGAATCCATCCGTCCCTCGTGCAGTCAGTCATCTGCACTCGGGCAAAGTGGGAGCAGATGCTGCCATACGCACACCACAGGAGTTTTATACTCTGTCTGCACTGGCTGAGTGACCCTGTACAAGCTGCAGGGCAGAGAGGAATCAGGCCCCTGGGCTGCATTGCCCAGTGACAGTCTGTCCCCCGCCCCCCGCCCCAATATTTTCTATGCCCGTCTGCAGACAGCACAGTGCTCTCAGATCCCAGCCATGTGCAATGCAGGGCAGTTAATGTCACTGGGGGGGGGTGTTCACCTTTGCCAAGGGCAAGATCTAAACATGGAAATGGACCCACTTGTGATGCTGCATTAATGTAATTGCACTAACTGGGAAACAGAAGCTCTGACCGGCTGCAGGCAGGGGGGGTGACACGGTGACTCACGGCCCTGGGTAACCAGGTGTGTTAGGGTGACAGGGCAGAGCGAGTCAACAGCCAGTGGGAGCCGGACACTGGGGGCGGGGGATACGCCACAGAAACACTCCGGGCTCAGCAGAGTCTGATGTGACTGTTGAAGCAGGGGTGGGCTGTGGGGGAAGGGGGGAGAAGTTGGGGGGATTGTGACGTTTCCAGCACGGAGTGTAAGGTGCAGAAACGGGGTCAGTGTGGGTCCACACTCACCTGACAGTGCCATGAGGATGAGGATGGTGATGCTCAGTATGAGATTGAGACCCACACTCGGAACTGCCCAGCGACGTGCCCGTGGTTCCAACCCAGACAGCAAACCTGTAATAGAAACAGCCAGTCATGCTCACGCTGCTGCTATGGCGGGCGGGGGGGGGGGGGGGGGCAGGGGGGGAGGGCCATACACTGATTAACAGCATCAGCTGGAGCTCGTTTGAAAACGGGGGATATTTTGCAAATAGTGAGACATTTAGAGTGAACGAAGTGAACATTTTCATTCCAACTGAGGGGGAAGAACCCTTTCAACTTTTCTGAGAAAAAAAATAAAATCAGAAAAAACAGGGGTTTCAATGTGAGGGTTTCAGAGCTTTCCCCAGCCTCTTGAAAATGTTTCCAGTGAAAGTATTTATTTAAAAGGGAGAGAATGGGGAGAG